TTCAGGGATTGAGTAATTGATTTTTAAAAATGCAAGGTTACATTAATAATTATGGCATAACTTCAGGGGGCTAATAGTGATTTTCCCTTTTATTTTTAGTGCTACAGCATAATTGGAGAATTTACTCTCCCTCCCTATATTGGGTCCGTTTGGATAAACAGCGGGAACATCAATCCGCTGATTCTTTTATACATGAAAACGCCGCTAAAAGCAGCGGGATGGTGCAGATCCGCTGAAAACCAAACAGCACCATTATCTACCAAAATTTAATCTCCCTTCTTTATCATTCTCCGACATCAGCTTGTCATATTGCTACTCCAGATTTGCCATTGGAATCTTACGCCGAGATGTGAGATCGTTGTCCTGCCCTACTTTGATTTCATCACTAAAATCTTGAAGAGAAATTTTACAAAATAGGACTATTACTTATCAAAATTTCAAAAATAGGACATCCACTTTTCCCCCGACTCGCATAGGACCAAATATGCGTTGAATTGCCAAAAATGACCTCATTAAACTGATACACACGTACTCTTCCCTTATTGACGGTTAATTCTTTCCCTCGGCTATTCCCGGTTTCCAAGCATCCATTATCATCATGCCGCCGAAAAAAAGATTCCAAATTAAATGAACATGTATCGGAACGGTTGAGATCTGCGATTGAAGAGACCAGTCATTCGACGACGATCAAAAGTGCACTTCGATTCAAAACTTCAAAGCACAGAGGTAGTAAACCTTCGTCTTAGACGACGCTCAAATTTGAGGAGAGTAGAATCGTTGAGTAGCGTTGATGGACAGAGCTATGGATTTGTCAAACAAAGTTTCCGTCAGAATCAATTCTGAAATAGTAAGTAGTAATTTCGTTGAGTAGAGGAATGTCTGAAATTGACAAAAGTTTGAAAGTTAAAGGAGTTCAGAACGTTTAAATCGTTTGAATGTAATAACATTTCATTGCATCATGTTGTTATATGGTGGCATTTTAAGTGTGTATGAAGACTATGGTTACATTTTGCGTGAATTAGTGATACTTTATGAATATGTGTTAGTTTGAATTAGAACTTCAGAATGTGACGCATAAGTGACAGTTTAGTGAGAATTTAGCAGATCATTTTTAGTTTGTCATGTTGTTATACAACAGAATAGTGCAAAATAAAGAAGTATATGGTGGCATTTTGTATGAAAAGTGACATTCCACTAATATGTGGTTATATAGTGGGGTTGTAAGTATGTATCATTACTGTGATGACAGTTTGCATGAAATAGTGACATTTTATGAATATGTCTTAGATTGAACGTAAATTAACACAACATTGAATTGGAAATTGAAAGTCTGACGCATAAATGACAGTTTAGTGAGAATTTAGCAGATCATTTTTAGTTTGTGATGTTGTTATACAACAGAATAGTGCAAAATAAAGAAGTATATGGTGGCATTTTGTATGAAAAGTATATGGTGCAAAATACTGCTGACATTCATGTGCAAGAGGAGACCGAGTACATTGCTGCACAGACTGAGGATGATATTTTACAGATTGGGGATGGTGGTGCAAAAAATGAGGATGTTGTTCTAGATAAAGATGTTGTAGAGACCGAGCACAATGAAGATGTAGTTTGTGACATGCCTACGTTTAACATATTGAGTCGGTCTCAAGAGATGGACAAAACTGCTGAATCTTGTTGGGGGATGGGGTCACAGGACAATAGTCAATTTGTCAAAGAGATTTGCAAAACTGCAGATGAAGTGGCCAAAAAGGCTTTTGAGAGCTATTCTTCCGATCCATGTACAACAATCATAGTGAAGCCTAATCAGGTAACTAAAAAATAAAATGACATTCAAGTAGCATTTGGAAGGTATGAAACTGACATAAAGGTGACATTCGAAGTATTAGTGACAAATTAGTAAAGTTATGTGACATACAGTTTATGTGAAGTTATGAAACTGACAAATTAGCGACTTCTGTAGTACATATCACCATTGTATATATGATTTTTATGAATCTCAAAACATTTTATGTAATATTGTCTTGACTTGAATGACAAAATATTTTACAAATTGATTGTAATGCTTATATTTTTATGATTATTTTTTAGTATGACATTGAGTGTATTAATATATTTTCAATAAATATAGAAAAGTATAATAAATAATATATATTATGGAAATGCCACAGGAACAAGAGGATCTTCCCAAACAAAAGCGTTTTGCTAGGTCACCAGTGAAGTACACTCCATCTGAGCATTCACCAAAGAGGAGGAAGAGAGAAAAGGGTAAGAAAAGAGCTGACAATGAATTTTTGTCTCCACTGAAGGAAATAGTTGGACCTTTCACAGAAGATCCAACATAGAGCCCACCAGATCATGAAATAGAGAGGGTGAGAGCATACCTCCAAGTTGGATTGTTGAAGAATTTTCAAAAAATAAAATAAAAATGGCAGAAGGTACAAAGTGGAAGAAGAAAAAATGGTTCACAAACCGTTTTTGCTAGACACTATGAAAGTTGAATCAAAAACATGGTTATATGACATGTTTACGAATCATGAATGGATCACTGACAAGGTAAATTCAAAAATGTTATATTTTTGTCAGTCTAACTCCCAAGTGTACATTTATATGTATGTTTGTTTATATAGAATGCCATTAAAAGTCAGTTGAATTAGTTTGTAATTGATAAATGTGTGTTTTATTTTTTACAGCATGTTGAGGTAGTAATGTACTATTTGGGCATGAAACGGGTGCATTACAAACTGCCACAAAACTACACCACAACTGGGCCTTTTTTCTTGCAAATACTGAAACGGGAGCTTGACACTATATCAAAGGGGCACTATACATACCACAAGTCAGCACAAGAAGAAAACATTGTTCGTGACATAATAGGTGCGAACAACTATAGCCTACACTGGAGCAAAGCAGACTTCGTGTACTTCCCTCTGAATACTGGCAACCATTGGGTTTTGGTAGTACTAGATATCAAGCAAAGAAAGGTAAGAGTGTACAACTCCAATGCTAGAAGAGGTGATTCACTAAGGGATATCAGGTCCTATGTTGCATGCATAACAGTCCTCCTGCCCAGAATAATGGACTATCACAAAGTGTACGAACAGATGGGTGAGGATCCTATGGGTGAAAGGTTTTTGGAAGTTGAGCCTGTAGAAGGATATCCACAGCAAGATGATGGGTAAGAGGATATAAATTTGCTTAATCAGATTGTATAATAGTGTACTTTTTTATTTTAAAAATTTCTTTTAATTTTTGGTGTTATGCATCAGGGGAAACTGTGGAATGTTCATGCTCAAGATGGCTGAATTTCTAATGGTGGGGATGGACATGGATGGCATATATCCTGAAGCAATACCCTTGTTTAGGGAAAAAATGGCAACTGAACTGGTCCTATATAGCAATAGGAGGCAGGGTGAGAGAGAATGAAATGAAGCTATGAAGAAATGGGATTGTAGGATGAAACAATTATGTTTGTTTTGGAAGACTGTTATATTTACTAGTACTTTTAATATCATGTGAGGACATCTAGACATCTAGTACATTCGTTTTGAAAAACTTGGTTAACGCAACTTTCATTGTGTTTTGAATGTATGAAATATGCTTTATGACAATGCATTGTGACAATGCATTTTATTGAATTACGTTCAAAAAATCTGTTTGATTTTTACATTGAAGATGACTTTGTGTTAATGCATTCTACAGGGTACTTATATTTATGTAAGCACGGATTGTTACTGAAGAAAATCCGTGATAAATGACATTTGGATGACAATTTTTAGAAAACAAAATGACATCAACTTTGAAATCTGTCTGTTCAAGGGACGTACGTCCCCTTGGCCAGTTTATCTAGAGCATTTTTTATAGTAACATGTAGATAGATACTAGGATTGAATGTCATTTACATGCAGTGAATAAATGACAACAAATTGACAAGTAACATGACATTTTGTGGAATACAAAATGCCATCAAATGTCACATATGTCATTTATGCATAAACAAAATGACATTACATTATTGAGATGACATTTGGGATAAAACATTTGGATAAAGCACAAGTCATAAACACTTAAATGCCAAGAATGGCTAAAGCACAAAACCTTAAACGTTCAAGGAAATGATAACCAAGTCCAAACCACATAGTAGAATTGTTAAAAGTACAAAAAACAGAAGACAACATAAAATGAGTGGGCAATTCTACATCACTGGGTATTAATTGGAATTGGATTTCTACAAGTTTTCTTATTATGCCCAAGCACATGGCATCAAGAACATTTTTGACGTTTTGAACCTCTATATTCAAAACGTATGAAATATGTTTTATGACAATGCATTGTGACAATGCATTTTATTGAATTACGTTCAAAAAATCTGTTTGATTTTTACATTGAAGATGACTTTGTGTTAATGCATTCTACAGGGTACTTATATATGTAAGCACGGATTGTTACCGAAGAAAATCCGTGATAAATGACATTTGGATGACAGTGTTTAGAAAACAAAATGACATCAACTTTGAAATCTATCTGTTCAAGGGACGTACGCCCTCTTGGCCAGTTTATCTAGAGCATTTTTTATAGTAACATGTAGATGGATACTAGGATTGAATGTCATTTACATGCATTAAATAAATGACAACAAATTGACAAGTAACATGACATTTTGTGGAATACAAAATGTCATCAAATGTCACATATGTCATTTATGCATAAACAAAATGACATTACATTAATGAGATGCCATTTGGGATAAAACATTTGGATAAAGCACAAGTCATAAACACTTAAATGCCAAGAATGGCTAAAGCACAAAACCTTAAACGTTCAAGGAAATGATAACCAAGTCCAAACCACATAGTAGAATTGTTAAAAGTACAAAAAACAGAAGACAACATAAAATGAGTGGGCAAATCTACATCACTAGGTATTAATTGAAATTGGATTTCTACAGGTTTTCTTATTATGCCCAAGCACATGGCATCTAGAACATTTTTGACGTTTTGAACCTCTATATTCTCCAATGGATGGAATCCTGCATTTCTTAGGGCGACCAGGAGGACGCTTCAAACAACTTGGTGGCTTGCATCTCTGGTTTTGAATAGTAGCAGGAATTGACCAACTGTTAGGATCAGCAATAGGATGCATGATACCAGACCATGTAGCAAGTCAAGCATCTCTTGTGTAATATGGAGATATGTACGTATAACATGAAAGGTGTGGGCGTATACCGATTGCAGCCACAACATGAACACACACAAATTGATCTAATTGAAAGTGGCCGCATGTACAACTTCTAGAGTTGAGGTTTACCACAAAGGACTTGCATCTACTGTCAACAACTTCAAATTCATATGCACATGATGGTTTAACCTGTGAAATAAAAAAACAAGAATATGAAAGTAGATAAAAAAGAGAATTAGCAAAAGAATATAGCAGTAATATGTGGCTATGAAGTATGTAAAATGTCAACTTATATATGAATATTAAGTATAAGAGAAATGATAAATAAAAACGCTAGTAAGACTATTTGAATGTGAAGTACACAAACTGACAAAATTATAAAGACAAAATGACATATTAACAAACAAAGTGGAATTATAAAAGGAGATGAAAAAATGAAAACCGGTTAATGGTATTCAAAGTCAAAAAATAAGCTTTGACATACCTTCATACGTGTGGATTCAGCTTGCAAAGCTACCAGGCGTTTCTCACATTTCTTTGTGAGTATAGTACTTGTTTTCTCAGCTTTATCTTTCCTCTCTGTGAACCATTGCTGCACCCTTTCACGCAAGAAATCAACAAGTTTAGACACAGAATACTCTCTTGCACAGACATTGACTTTGTTCATAGACTCAGCACAATTTGATGTCATAATATTATATCTCTTTGGGCCAGACATTACTTTTGACCATGTGTTAGCACCTAATTTGTCTAGCCAAGTCCTTATCCTGGGGTCTTCAGAATCCAACATGGATAAGTAGTCATCATATTCTTTCATAGTTGCTGCCATATAGGCAGCTTTGAACTTCCATCCCAAACCAACTGCAGATCCTCTGAATTTTGATGTTATGTTACGACCAAGATGAGCAACACAAAAACCATGGCTAGCATGTGGCAAGAGTTCAGAAACGGCCTTGATAAGCCCTTTATGCCTATCAGATACTACGTACAGGTCATGTCTGTACTTTATTGATTGACAAACTTTGGATAAGAACCATTTCCAAGAAGCTTTAGTTTCAGAACCACAAATACCAAATGCAATAGGAACTATGTGATCATTGGCATCTTGGCAACAAGCTGTAAGGAGGGTGCCTTTATAGTAAGCCTTCATGAAAGAACCATCCAATATAAGAACAAGTCTGCAGTAGGGCCAAGCTTCTATCCATGGTTTGAATGACATAAAAAAGGTAGAAAATGCATCATCCTTCCGTGTGACTAGATTAAACATAGAGCCAGGATTTGTTTTCTCAAGCACATAAGCCATTGAAGGCAAAAGCTGATAGGATTCAAGATCAGAACCAAATTGCAGCTGCATTGCTTTCTTCTGTGCTTTCCAAGCTTTGTTGTATGACATGGAAATTCCATACTGCATACTCATGTCCTCACGAATTTGCTTTGGGGGGTATGATTTATTGGAAGCATCAAGGTATTTGTGTGCAATAATATTTGCTATCACACTAGCAGATGCCTGTCTATGTTTGCCTTGTCTGTAATCAATAGAGCATGTGTGAACTGGTCGGAATCTGAAAAGAAAAAATGACATTATTATACAAATACATAAGATGAAGTTGACAGTCCTGTATAAGAATGTCAACACAACATGACATTCTTATAAACCAGAATTTACAATGAAGTGAATTAAAGAAGGAAAATTGAAGTTACCTTCTGATTTGAAACATTGTTACGCCATGTAGTTTTACAGCTCGAACACTCCAACAACATTTTGGATCTAAGCAAATAACATGCAAACACATTTTCTTCGATGTCTTAGTTCTGTATTGGAAGTGGTTTGTGATAGCATACATCTTCAGATGGTGGATAAGTTCTTTTTTATTTTTGTAAATAGCATGGAGAAGAAGACAAGTAGGATGGGACTGTGTGATGATTTCAAAATTTTGGAGAAATGAGAATGAGTCAGATGATTTAGTTAAAAGGCCATCTGACATATCATCTGACATGTCATCACTGTCTTCAGATGATTCATTTTCTACAGTTGCAGACACAGTGTTACCACAAGAAACAATATCTTCGGATTGGCCACAACTTACCCCAGATAGCATAACATTTTCATATTGACCAAATGGTGGGCCATCATCAAAAGAAAGTGCAGGGGAGGAGGAATGTAGTTGGGCAGAAGAAACAACAACATTCTCATAAGTGGTATGTTGTTGTGAAGCATGGGAAGAAGAAACAACAACATTGTCATCATAAGGGGTATGTTGCTGTGAAGAAATGACAACATTTTCAGACCAAGGAGAAGCAGATGGTCCAACATCAATAGAAAATGCAGGAGAAGATGAAACAGGATAAAACTCAACACAAAGTGGATACAATGAAAAATCTGGTTGAAGAGACTTGATATAAAGATAAAATGTTAAGGTAGATTGATCATTTATAGTAACAGGAGGAGGAAATCCATCTCGCATATAAGAAAGCCTGAAATTATGATTAGCTTTGTACTGAGAAATGATGTCACTCAAAGAGTTAATAAAAGAAGCATATTGAACATTATAGTTAACATGAAGGCCACATGCGTGGACATTGTTCAACACGTTGTTAGAATCCCAAAAACCATCAACCTTGACCATAACAAGTAAAATAGGATCCATTGTGGTAAAAAGGTTCCTAAAAAAATGCAGCAAAAGAAATATTTCAGTATGACAAAAGACAGTTCGGACAAAATAATGACAGTTTTGTTAACAATATGACAGTTTATAAGGATGTGTACCATTGAATGACAGAACATAAAAAGGCGAAATAAAAAAATGCATATACAGGTAGGAACGTAGGACAAACTAAATGACAGTTTGGACAAAATTATGACAGTTGTGTTAACAATATGACAGTTTATAAGAATGTGTACCAATTATATACAATTACAGAACATAAAAAGGAGAAATCAAAAAATGCATATACATGACAGTTAGAACAAACTAAATGACAGTTCGAAGGGCATAATTTAGGTAGAAGAATAGAGAATTTAACAAAAACAAAATAAATTGTAGATACAAACTGATATCTAAACTAGCGGATGAAATTTAATGAAATAAAATAGAGTACAACTACATACGAAATAAATTGTTGATTATAATGAATTTGAAAGCGATCATATGATGAAAGGATCGATAATATGAAATTGAAGAAAAAAACAGAACTGGAAGGAAAAAACATAACGCAATTGTGAATTCAATTTAACAACGATTGAGGAAGAATTGACGAACGAAAACAGAATCACGGCCATAATAAGTTATTATGAAAGCTTTAAATTTGAAGTAAACATACTCTGCAAAGAACGAAACACAGGCAGCTATGACCTCGTACTCCAAGAGAAATCCATGACAAAAGAATGCAGGAAAAACAAGGAATGATTAGTTAGGTTGAATGATATCCAACAAACTTAGGAAACTAATAGCGATACTCAACCTGAACAAGGAAACTACTCGGATAAGGAAACTACTCAACCTGAACAAGGAAACGGAAACTCCTTAACCGTTTGAAACTGGATAACCGAAAAAGGCCGGTAACTTTCTTAACTTCGAATAGGGGTATTTAGGATATTTTCTAAAGTAGTAAAACGTAAGATAGGACCGTATAAGTCCTATTAACGAGAGAAAACTTGGTAAGTCCTAATATGAGTTTTTTAGCATGTTTAAGTCCTATTATGGCTAATTTCTTAATCTTGAAAACATGTTTACTCAAATTACAATTATAATATTAATTATCAATGTTATTTCTTATAATCGTTATTTTTATAAAGTATAAAAATATGTGGTACAGAAAATATATTACCTCTATTCTGGTGGACTTTGCCAACTTCAAAATATGTGAGAAACAATAAAAGTAAAAATTATGAGATTAGGGTTTGTCACATGAGAGATAAACAAGTTGATTCATTGTTTAAAATGAAAGTTATAAAATTTTTTGGAACAAACAAAAAAGAAAAGTTGGCAAAGTTGAATGAGACGGAGGGGGTATATTTAGGAGAAAATTCCCAATATAGGTGTAAACATGTTTTGGAATTTTAAAATATGACTACTATGTTTGTTTTCCCAGAATAAATATAGTAATGATAGTATTTTTCAATCATTACAATAACAACTCTTATTTCATAAAGAAAGACATGTAAAGTAATCTATTTTGAAATTTGAAATCATGTTTACTCCTATTTAAGACAGTTTCCCAATAATGTAGTCATCGGTTTATAATTTTGGTATTAATTATCAATATTATTTCTTACAATCTTTATTTTTAAAATAACAAAAAAAATCTTTTTTTTTCTCTTTAAAATGTACTAATACATGCATGGTAATTAGGTCATTTTATTTCAACTCTAAAGAGGCGGGGCAGTCATGTACGGCGCAATTGAGTCATCTTTCGATCCATAAGGTTTTAAAGTCATATTTTAAGAAATTGACTCTCTTTTAGTAATACTGTTGTAATGTTCCCTTGAATAATTCGTCATATTTGCTTCAACTTTTAAGGTAAATAAAAGTTCATATCTTATACTAGTATATTAAGGATAGATGTAAATATACCTTTAAAGTATATATGCACGTGCAGATATATACCCCTAAAGTTCTAAAAGGTGTCAGGCCCCCTAATGTTCATACTAAGCAACAAATTAGCTCTTATTGAATTTAAATTAAATAAATCTATATATATATATAAAAACAGAAAAGTGGAAGAAAGATTTGGGCGGGAATACTGTAACATTCTGGGTAAAAATTAGTGTGAAAACGGTTTGTATGATTAAATTGTGAAGTTGTTTCTTGGCTCAAGAAAAAATGATGCCTAAAAGTAAATGGGGCACACGGTCCAAAAGTATTCGGAGGCTAAATGTGCTGATTTATTCAGCTGGAAAATAAACAATGCAATAAATGCTTTAAATTCTTGCAATTCCAATGTTTTAGTTTTTACGATGCACTCTTGAGTATACTTAAACGAAGACATTGCATTTAATATTTTTTGTTATTCTATATGTCTATAGTACTTCCCGAAATCCAGATTGGTGGATTCCAATACGAAACCTTCTATATAAACATGAAGTGAGACGCTATCACACCGAAAATCAACTCACATCCTTATTTATCAGTAAGTTGAAATCATGCATACTGCTTTATGTTATCTGCCAACTCTTTAGGAGTTGGGTTTTACATCAGTAAAATGAATTCTGCCCCATATTGGATTCTCTTGCCACTATCATTATTGTTATATTCCTATCATCGATTACTAACAGTGATGTTTGAATCAATGTTCATTCATTTTCATTTCAAAATAAAGGAAAACATGCTTCCAAAGGATTAGAAAATTTGTGACAATATCTTGCAAAAGAATTGCTTCAAAATAACGGTGATGTTTGAATCAATGTTCATTGTGATTTGAAGGTAGTGTTTTTCTATTCCCTATAAATCGCACTATTGAATTGCTGAGTATTTTTAAACTTATACATCTATATTTAAAAATAAATATCTTAGCTTTCATTTCTACCAAGATGATTTAAAAATAAATATCTTAGCTTATATTTAAATATCTATATTTAATAATCATTGTTCAAAGTGTATTCATAATCATTGTTACCAAGATGATTATAAATAGGAAACTTATTGGAGTAGTTGATTGGTTGTCTAAAAAATACGGAGTAATAGGTTATCTACTGTAATTATATTTGAAAACTTATCTAGCTTGCATGCATTAAAAGTGCTTAGCATCATTCTGAATAGTGTGTGATTTTTGTGTAATAAAAAATTAAAGTAAACAATAGTTTACAAATTTTAACATTTAAGTGTTTAATTTAAATATAGGTAATCACTTGAAAACGTCCTTTAAGCTTTTTAAAGCCAAGAGCCAACAATCACATAATTAGAGTGGCAGGTGAGCAATTCACTTAAAGTTAATTGTCTTTTTGAATATAAAATATGGGATGTTGGGCAAATTCAAATGAGTTTGCAAAGTATTTCATACCCTAGCTATTCGATCAAACGCCGTCAAATAAGAATAATTAAAGATTGCATTTCACTCGGTCTTTCCAAGCATGCCGTGGCATAATATTAGCGGTGAGAGGGAACAATAAGGAGAGTATTTAAATGTTTTTCTCCCTTTTGGAGTAAAAAATACTGCAATAGTTTTTGAAATATGGTTTTTCAGGAAAATATAAAATAAAACATGGCTTTTAGCATATTAAATACGTAGTACATAGTAAGTTTTATGCTTATCAAAAGATATTTTGGATCAGAGGTGTTTAAAATGGATTCTCCTTTTGCTTCATTTTAAAAACAGAAAGTACAATCAGATTTAATTTCATAGAAGGTGGTCTGATCTCCTCCAACTTTTAAAAATTGTTAGTAGGAGTAATTTGGAGCAATCGGAAGTAGTTCTGTACATCGACTCAAACACTTCAATATATGCTTTTGCTACCTTAAGTAGAAATAATTTTCAAAAATAGACCCAAACACCATTTAATTAAATCCTACGGAGTATATGATTTAAACATAAATAGAGAACAATAATTATACGATCAAAAAGAGAGAACAATAATTTTAAATTGTAATATAGACACACATTAAAAATGTTTCACTATAACCCTATCTTATCTTATAATCCCAATTTATCATTCGGTTCCCACATCTCAAGGTACCAGTCGAGAACTCGAGATAAATGATTTCATTTAAAGAAAAAAAGTTATTATTATTTACGGATTATGTATTTATGATAAGTATAACGGGTCAAGAAATCACTTCATAATATACAAAATATGTCTTCCCGTGCATCGCACGGGTATAACACTAGTTTTAAAAACAACACAAATATATAATTGAATTCGGAAATTGAAAATTTAAAATTTTATAAACGTCTATTATGTGTCCAATGCCCCATTTTAATGTTTTTATATCACAATTTAATATTTTTAACATAAAAAATGTTTCAAAACATTACTATATGTTTATGGTTCTCTCAAAAATGTGTTAATAGATGTGTTGCGATGGAAATAAAATCAATTATTTTTAGTATTGTTTCCACTACTCCCTCCGTCCCGGAATTATCTTCATTCTTTCCTTTCAATCCGTCCCAAATTTATCTCCTTTTTCCCTTTTTGGCAAAGAATTTGTGGTTCACAACCATTTTTACACATTTCTCTTTCCTCTGCACAACTATCCACCACACATTTCCCACTATCTTAAAACTCGTGCCCAGTCAAATAAGGAGATAATTCCGGGACGGAGATAGTATAATTTTTTATTAACACATTTTGTATGATGATAAATAGTTCAAGATTACAAAATAGTGAATTTAATTTTATTAAGTTTAAACAACATCAAAGAAATTTATTTAAAAATGTAACAATGTGTTCAAAATGTTGTTAGAGGGCTAAAGTTAATATTTATGAATTTGAAATGCTTCTTTACAAGAGAAAAATAAAAAATTTGTAATTTAAAATTAAAATGTTAATATTCAAACATAAAATAAATATTTCTTTTTATTCAGTCCAATAAGAAAAAATATTTTTTATTTTCTTTATACGTTATTCTAATTTTAAATTTTAAATTTTGGTGTTTTTAAAATTTATTTTTTTATTTAAATTCAATTGGGGCTAATTTGTGTCTTAGTAGAACATTAGAGGTATCCTTACATCTTTTAAGACTTTAAGAGTTAAGACTTAGAGCATCTCCAATGCTATAATGTGTATGGTGCACATGTGGCATGAGAGATAGCCACACAAATATTAGCAAATAAAATATCTTTCTCCTTATTTGAATGCTTTTATACAATTTTGGTAAGTTTTTCTCCACAATGTACCGTCTAGATATTGACATTGTGATTGACATTGCAGAAAAAAACTTATCAAAATTGTACAAAATCATTCAAATAAGGAGAGAAATAATTTATTGAGAGAACTATCAAATAAGCTCTCGAACTTACATAAAAAGTGCAAATAAGCCCTTTTATAGGAGGCTTTGTTCGGCCGTCATCATTTGGGGCGGTTCCCGGTAGATTTTTTTTATGAAACTTTTGGATCATCTTATTCATTAAGCCCTTCAAATGAATTTTTGAAGATAACTGCGCAGTTAGAGAGCGCAGTATATTTCAGAAAATCATTTGACTGCCTTTTCGGTTGAATGTTTAGCTGAAATTTGGTATGGATAAACTAGACTTAATGAAAAAGATGCTCAAAAATTTTCATCAAAAAATTCAACCGGAAACCGCCCCAAATGGCGACGTCCAGGCAGAACCTCCTATAAAACGGCTGATTTGCACTTTTTATGTAAGTTCGAGGGCTTGTTTGATAGTTCTCCCTAATTTATTTGTTAATATTTATGTGGTTATCTCCCATGCCACATGTGCACCGTACACATTGTAGCATTGAAAATGCTCTTATATATGTACTTGCACATATTCCATATATTTTTATATATGTACCTTTTTCCTATATATTAATCCCTACCTATATATGTATGGGAAAAGGGGGCAAATAAGCGCACGTACTAATCAAAAAAGATCAAATAAGCCCTTATATAGGAGGCTATGTCCGGTCGTCATCATTTGGGGTGGTTTCCGGTGGAAATTTTTGATTCAATTTTTTGATCATAATATTCATTAAGTCTAGTTTACTCATACCAAATTTCAGCTAAAACTTCAATCGGAAAGGCATTCAAATGAATTCTTGAAGATAACTGCGCAGTTAAAAGCGCAGTTATCTTCAAGAATTTATTTGAATATCTTCCCAATTGAGTTATTAGCTGAAATTTGGTATGAGTAAACTAGACTTAATGAATACGATTTTCAAAAAAATTCATCAAAAAATTCCACCTGAAACTGCCCCAAATGGCGACGTCCGCACAGAGCCTCCTATATAAGAGCTTATTTGACCTTTTTTGTTAGTACGTGGGCTTATTTGCCCCTTTTTCGTATATGTATGCATAATGAATCCGGATTAAATGAAACTTATATACAGTAATGCACCTGACCAAGTAGATAGTTGTAATGATGGTAATAGACCGGTAGTACTACCAAAAAAGGATGACACCCCATCCCTGAGGGCCCCCAACCTCGACCAGACGGTACGTTGGGAGGATGTAAATTGGACTATAATTCCAATCTGATAGGTAGAGAATGAGGTTCTGTCCCCGATACTTGAAGAAACCCTGCATGAATTTCCAATTTGAAGCTCAAGTAATAATTAACATTAACTACATCTGCTATAAATGAATCCCATGGAATGAATCCAATGGCGCATGGATACTACATATCCATCACATATTATACTACTCCTTTCTTTTCTTATTTATTTATTTATTTATTTATCTAATTCAATACTCTGTGTTTTATTTCTTCACTTTTAACGCTCCATGCAGACGCTCGGCGAGCGTACGGGTGAGAACGCTGATTCTCGATGTAAAAGCCCACGTTTGTCATTAGACAAAAATATTCAAGTATAAATAACAACATACAAAACAAAGGTTGGGATTGCGTTAGTAGGGATTGTATCTATTTTTAAATTAACGGGGACTCTTTTTGTCTCAATTCATTAGTTTACATTTACTCAATATATTAGGTGTTAGAATAATTAACGGAGTATTTTTAGAATTCAATGATTGTTTTGCATTCAGATCCCATATATATTCATCCTTTTTTTTTTATTTTTCATGTGTTATATGATTTCAGTTGATATAAAAAGGGTGAATTGAATGTGCACTTTTTAAAAATATTTCTGATATTTCTTATAAATATGCGCACATTAAAAATGATCATTAAATTGTGATGAACGAATACTGGATATTTTGCCCACAATATGTTTCTGTTTCATTTATTTCATTTACTTTTGCCAATGCAATATCAACGAGATGCAATCCATAACTATGGCGGCATTTAATGACTAAAGTTATAACCTGTTTTTATCCCATCTTTACTAATGTTTACTTTTTACGTGTTCATCTTTCCTTCCGTCCTACTAATATTGTTTCATATCAAATTTGGTAAATTTTGTATGAATCTAAATCATTATCAATTTTTTCTTAATTAATTTATCAGTTTAATAGCAACCACATAAAACCATTTTTCTTAATAAGCGTGACACCCCTCATGTCTCAATGTGGGTTAGTGAGATAAAGGTGGTAGTATATATTAATGTATGAAAAGGTTTATTAGAAGTTTGTTTAGTAATACTCAAATTGATTGAATTGGTTGAATTTGTAGAAATTGATGAAATTCTAACAAAGGCAGTTGAATCTGTTTTATCAATGATAGAAATATTATATTTAAAATAAATTTTATTACTTAAATATAGAAAAAGTTATATTAAAATGACTAAAATGCTCTTCCTCCACAACATGGGCGGAGATAGGGGGTGATCAACCTAAGCCTTGGCCCACCCCAAATTTAAAAAATGGCTTAATTTTTAGTGTAAAATGTTTTGTTTAATTTTTTCCAAAACTATTCTTTGTACCGACTCAGTGTCCTGGCTTATATATAGGGGTGAGAACTCATCTTAAAATAATAACTTGTTATGATGAGAACTTTTAATCACAACCATTTATTTAATTCAATCATTGGTAGGATGCACATGAGGTACTTTGTGTAATTATTGAAAGTTCAAATGGGCCCTTTTTGTAATTATTGTAGAGTTATTACAAAAATGACACCTTATTGATTTTAGCCATTGATTCCATGAATCAAGGGCGTTGATTAGAAGTTCCCATCCATAAATAGGTTCTCATTTTAAAGGGAGTTCTTACTAGAACATCCCCCTTTTTTTTTATCCCGGAAGGCAAACCACCAAAATCAGTGGGGCATATGCCGGGAGTCATATACCAGGATTTTATTAATGAATCAATGAATTACAAAAGGAAGGGAACTAGGTCAAAACTTCCTTGACATAACCAAATAAAAGTGAGAATGAAGAAAAAATAAAACAGGGGAACCAAACCAAACCCGAAAACACAGAAATCAAACTCTAAAAGAAGGAATACCAAAATAATCCATCCAAAAATATCTTTTAGCTAAAGTAGGTAGAATATCCACTGTAGAAAATGATGTTGGCCGATCCACCTTCTCTTGGGCCAAGAAATGAGTGACCCAGTTGCCCTCTCGTTTCACATGCCCAAATTCCATACGTTTCCTAATTTAGAAATTGCCCAATATAGGAGTAAACATAAACATAATTGCACAAATAGGAGTAAAACTTAAAACTTCATATAATAGGAGTAAACATGAATTTTGTACCCTTAATATCCCTAACCTAGTTAATTCTAAAATATGACTTATTTAATCTTAACTAGTTAATTTATAACTTATTTGATAATAATAATTTATGTATTTTTTTTCAAAAAATAAAAAAATATATAAAATTTTAAAAAAATAAATAAATAAAATTCAACGCCTCCTCTGCACCACCACCTCCAGTCACCAGGGAAAAAATGCCAAGTTCATTACGAATGTCATATTTATGACAGAAAATAATGAAAATGTTGGCATTCACAAAGAGAAATATGCCATGTTTTTGGCATTTTCAGGAAAAAATGGCAGTTTTTAGGAAAAATGGATTTTTTTCACCACCAGGAAGGTTGTAAGGGCGATGGGAAAGACATCCATATTTTTTTAAATTTTGTAATGGAGTTTTACTATTTTTTATTAATTTTTTAAAAAACTAAAAAAAGTAAAAAAATATTTTTATTAAATTTTTTATTTTATTAATATTTTATAAATTTTTTAATTATTTTTCAATGAATTTTTTATTTTTTCCGAATTTAATATGAATTAAACATTTAATTAAAAGTTGTCGGGGCTTAGGGCTTGGGTAGGGGTATTGATGGAGTATATGGGTCTAGGCCCCAGGACCCACATACTCAGAAGAACAGAAGGTACCATGATCGCTGGGTGACCTCGTCGGCCGTGCCCTCATCGGCCATGCCCTCATCGGCCAGGAAAAGGTCTACTCAGAATATGATCCAGAAGCCCGGAGAACCGGGTGCCCTCATCGGCCATGCTCTCATCGGCCATGCCCTCATCGGCCAGGAAAAAGTCTACTCAGAATATGATCCAGAAGCCCGGAGAACCGGGTGCCCTCATCGGCCATGCTCTCATCGTCCATGCCCTCATCGGCCATGCTCTCATCGTCCATGCCCTCATCGGCCAGGAAAAGATCTATCCAGAATATGATCCAGAAGCCCGGAGAACCGGGTGCCCTCATCGGCCATGCTCTCATCGGCCATGCCCTCATCGGCCAGGAAAAGATCTATCCAGAATATGATCCAGAAGCCCGGAGAACCGGGTGCCCTCATCGGCCATGCTCTCATCGGCCATGCCCTCATCGGCCAGGAAAAGAAGGCCGCCCAGAATATGATCCAGAAGTCAGGAGAACCGGGTGACCTCATCGGCCATGCCCTCATCGGCCATGCCCTCGTCATCCATAGGTAGCCTCTAGAACAGGATTTTATACTTATCATTTCTATACACTTTGTATCCGGCCCATTAGTGGCCCTGTTGTAAATGGGCCTCCCAAGCCCAAGACTTGGGAGCCCAGCCCTAATTTTCTCTATCAATACTCCCCTTGGGAGTAGTTGTAGGGGTTCAGAATTCATTAATACAAAGCAAATATACTACTTCTCTCTCTAGCTCTCACTTCTCTCTAGATATACTCTATCAGGTATACTTGTCCAAACCCTAAAGTTACTCCTATTCAAAACATGATACTCTTTTTTTTTGCATTTTGCCTATGTTTTGCTCCTATTTGGGGAATTCTCTCTTCCTAATTCGCACCAGTGTGATTTCCTGAAGCTTTGCGGACCATCTCCTTCCTTCCCTTCAATATACTCCAGAGCTAATATCGAATCGGACTCTACCTGGAAATCCGTAAACCCTTCCTCCACTGGCCACCGCGTAGCCAAGAATATGGCATGAAGCTCTGCATCCAACGAAGAAGTAGCCATCAAAGGAAAGCTGCGAGCAGCAACAAAATCGCCATCTTTGTTCTGAAGGATAGCCTTCTTATACTTCTATGATGGTCTTTGCAATGAAGATAGGCGGATGATCAACACCGCATATGGAGGGGCAATTGTCAACAAGACTCCTTCTCAAGCTAGAAACCTTATCTCGGAGTTGGCCGAGAATTGTAGACACTATGATCGGCGGTCATCAAAACGAGTTATGGCGGTGGAATCCAACAACTCGTTGGAAAGTCAAGTAGCCGACTTGACTTCTTTGGTTACAGAGATTTTCTCTTAAATTCCAAAACCCAAGAGATCAAGGTCTGCGGCATATGCACACAACAAGGACATCCCACCGATTCATGCCCAACTCTTCAAGAAGACAATCCCGAGCATGTCAACGCTTTGGGGTTCCAACACCAAAAGATGTATGATTCTTATGACAATACTTACAATCCCGGGTGGAGAGATCACCCGAATTTGAGATATGGGAACCCTCAACCACAACAAAGTCAGCCCCTGCAACAATCTTTCCCAAATCACCAAGGCCAAACTTCAAGCTCAAGTATGTCCACCGAAGACATGATCCGAGCACTCACCTCAAATGTCTCAACCATGCAACAAAACATGGTTCGATTTCAGCATGAGACCAAGTCTAGCATTCAAAACTTGGAAAGCCAAGTGAGTCAAATAGCTGGAGTCGTAAGCAGGCTTGAAGCAAAAGATTCCGGAAAGCTCCCTTCTCAAACAGAACAAAATCCGAGACAACATGTGAATGCAATCATGTTGAGAAATGGGGCGGAAACAAAGGCAGATCTAAAAATTGAAGAAGCGGATCCTGAAGAAGAAATTCAGCCGGAGGAAGGGATCACTACAGCCAAACCCCCTCCACTTTCATATGAACCAGTACCCCTATTCCCTGAGGCACTGATAGAGACAAGAAGGCCAGAGAAAGATGCTGACATCTATGAATCTTTCGCCAAGTGCGAGGTAAATATTCTACTCCTCAACTTAATGAAAAGTGTTCCTCGTTTTGCTAAACTTCTAAAAGAATTATGCAAAACAAAAAGGAACAATAAATTGAAAGAGAAGCGAAAGGTTGAAGTCAGTGAACATGTCTCAGCTATTTTCCAAAATAAACTCCCAAAAAAATGTAGTGACCCAGACATGTTCACTATTCCTTGCACGATAGGGGACACCACATTTCCTAAGGCCTTATTAGATTTAGGGGCATCGATAAACGTCATCCCTTATTCCGTTTATAAATCCCTACAACTTGGCCCACTACATCAAACCGGTGTAGTAATTCAACTAGCAGATCGTTCTAGTACTTAACCGAAAGGTGTGATAGAAGATGTGTTAGTGAAGGTAGAAAATATGGTTTTCCTTGTTGACTTCTATGTCCTCGAAATGGGAAATGATGACCAAACAACACCCATCATTTTGGGTAGACCCTTCTTGAAGACCGCGAAAACTAACATTGACGTGTCTAGTGGTTCACTAACCTTAGAGTTTAATGACCAAAAAGTAGAGTTCAATATCTTTGACTCTACGAAAAAACAAATTAAAGATCAATCTCTTTACTCTTTAAATGTTTTTGAACCACAAGAACCAATATTTTTTAAGAAATTTGATAAAATCTTTCAAGAAGGGAAGGAAATTAAGCATAGGGAGTCATCGTTGGTTGGAATAAAGTCATTGAGATGCAAACTTAAACCACGTGTGATTGAGGTGTTGATGAAAAAAAAACCTCGGCCTTATTGGAAAAGGCCGAAAAATAAAATTGAAAAATGGCTAAATAGGGCCTCAAAAAATAAAACAAGGGATGCTCACGATCCCACATAAAAAAAATGAATAACGTCGTGCCGCGACGTTAAATAAGGCGCTTCTTGGGAGGCAACACAAGTTTTATTTTTATTTTTCGTTATTTCGAGTGTTTAAAGTTCATTTTTTTAATTATTTGAGAGATCAGTGAGAGAGGGAACTAATCATGGGTTTTGGAGAAAAAGAAAAAAAATGCAGGTTTTGAAGCATCTGGGGACATACCCGATCGAGTACCACCTTATACTCGGTCGGGTATGGCTAAAAGAAAGGGAACCGGGCATTACTCGATCGAAGGAGTATTATTTTTTTTTCAAGAAAGCATGCATACTCGATCGGGTACAATTACATTCCCGGTCGAGTATGTACAGAAAGGCGAAATTCAATGGAGTCTGACCCCCGCATTCGATCGAGTACAGGGCTCAACAATTGCAAAACAAAGGATACCCGATCGGGTATCACTACACACTCGGTCGAGTATGTTCAGAAGGACGAAACCAAGTAGAGCCTGCTCCCAGCACTCGATCGAGTACATGCCTCAAAACGTGGAAAAAGAAACATACCCGATCGAGTATTGTGTTATACCCGATCGGGTACTGGAGACAGTCTATTCAAAACTTCGGATTTCCAGCCATACTCGACCGAGTAACTTCCCATACTCGATCGGATATACATACGTTTTAACCCCAAAAACGCCCAAATCACTTCATCTTCCCCAAATCCCAAACCCAAAATTCAAACCCCTCTCCCCCAACCTCCATTTTCAAATCTTCTCTATACCATATCTTCTTCATTTCTCCACCAAATCACCCCATTCCACCATCAAAATACTCCCCTCACCTTCCTCTACACACCCATACCCACCAATCCAACTTTACCCCAATTTCAAAAGGTCCGAAAATAACCCTACCCCATTTCTAATTTTCGGGTTTCAAGCTCAAAATCTTCCAAAAAATGGCACCAAGGAAGGACAAAGGGCAGAGCTCCAACGCTGTGGCACCCATCCCAGGCTATGAGGACCTCATCTTCGCCGACAATGAACACCGAACTCGGTTCATCATTGCAATTGCAAGGCAAGTAAAACCTTCCCGTTTTTTATGCCATGATGCTCTCCATGAATTAGGAGTGTATAAGAACACTAGGAAATTTTTTCATGAGTTGAGCATGGATTGTATATTCAAAATGAAATACAACTCTAACGAAAAAATTATCTATGAATTCATGAGTTCGGTGCAATTTGAGACCGATGAAGCTGACTTTAGGGATGATAGACTCAAGTTTCGTCTATTTAACCAAAACCATTCAATAACGCAACTTGAGTTCGCCGAACACTTTGGCATTCTGGTTCCCTACCAAAAATCCATATCCGATAACACTGCTTTCGGCCATTCACTGTGGACAAAGATGACCGGGGGAAAAAAATTTAGCTTCTCCCAACTGTATATTAGTCATGTCCAACACCCCGTCCTCCGATTATTCTTGAAATTTCTTGCAAATTGCCTGCTTGGACGTCCCAACAACCATCACACTAGGATGGGGGATGTATGTTTGATGTCTGTAGCTCTATTCCGTGTTCATGTGGACTTTAATCTGTGCAATCTTATGTGAGCACATCTGAAAAAGGAAAGCACAGCCAGGGGGCCATTGTTGTGGGTGGGGTGATTATGCACTTAGCCACCAAGTTCGGGTATACGGATAACTCTCCTATACCCGATTATTGTTTGATGAATATCTCTTGGTTAGGCCATTCGGGATGCACAACCTTTTCCCATACAGTTTATGGTGGTGAACGACCAAAAAACATGTATTACTAGCTCATACACCCCAAGCCTCTCAAATACTTCCTCCTACCTAACCAAGAACTTCTCAAACTGCTCTACAAACAAGAGGTAGAGGTACCCCATTACCTATTCCCACACGCCCTTCCACCACATCTCCTAGAACCGGAACAAGAACCTCTCCAATACCAACCCGAGTATGAGCCTTATCCCGGACCCCATGGTCATGAAGACATGGACGCAGACATCCCCGAGCAAACTCAAAACCCCCCCTTGTTACTCATTATATAAAAGAAAAGTATTCCTTTCCATGTGGATATGAACCTTACTTCGTTATACTGCGTATATTCGTTGTATTGTATTTATTTTGAGTGCACCTCATGACAAGTGCACATCATAATGGGATATTCATTTAGTGGAAAATCCATCTGAAATAGGTTGAGACTGCATGTAGGAGGATTACACCACCTCTGAACCAGGATATATCTTGTGTACCTTTTATACTCAGCACCCAACACATACTTCAGTTCTCACCCACCTTCACACTATCCCAAAGGCTTGCATATTCAATGTCCAGAAAACTCCCTAAAGTTTTCTATGAACCAAAAACTCCTTACCTACGCACTACAAAGAGATATATGACAATAGGTCTGAATCCTTCACACAAAAGTGTTCTGTCCACCCATCTTTGTTACAACTAAAAGAGTCATAACCTTTGTTCCTATAAAGTGTCACACTCTTGAGGTCAAGACTTCCGTTGTATGTTTCAATATCTCCCAAAAGATATTGGAACATATTCTGTTAGAGGAAAAAGGGTTGAAGAGAAAAGATTTTTTTAGAAGTCTATTCACCCCCTCTAGACTTCTACCTCACTTAGGAACATCAATTGGTATCAGAGCGGTTGTTCATAGAGTCGGTTTTTAACCGGCTTATTTTGGACAAAAGATCAACCACCAATCTCCCAAAACACTTATAAGACAGAGATGGAAAACACTATGAAGGATACTCTTCAAAGAAGAGACAAGGAAGGAGAAAGCAAGCTATGATCACACATCAAGGAAAGGGACTGCTGTTCAACAAAGAAGAAGAAGTCAAACCTACTATCATGACATCACAATTCTGGCCAACTCTACAAAGAAAGATGTTCACGAAGAGGTATATTCAAATACATCTCGAGTAACTTAGTTTATCTTGAATGTTCACATCTTTATCCCTACTGTGCTTCACTTCATAGAACATTCAGATAAATTTATTCCTTCACAAACTGAAAATCTTGAAACATCAGAAAATCCGAAAATAGCAACAGTACTAAAAGGATAATCTGATGATTACAGACAATCTTATGAGGAATAAAAAATGAGAAATCTCATTGTGTTCATTACTAATGAAGATCACTGGATTGGCATTGAATATGAGTTTATCAAATTTGTCCCTAACCTCCAGAAAACTAATACACTTACTGGTCCATCCATTATCCATATCAATTCCATAAACAAATGGACCAGTAACCAACTATATATTTCCACATCATCATACACCCTCCTTACCCTTACTCCCATACCAGAGAACCTATCACACACCCTTCTGGCTGACAACATTTTTTGTGAAGTCAACCAGTCCTCAAAAGGATCAGTGAAGGTTCAAAAGAGATTCAATGATATAAAGGGAGAAGAGAGCAATCAATATCATGAAACAAACAAAGATCTAATGAGTTCATTATTCATCAATTGACCACTGGTGTTTATGAATATCAAAAGACTATTGTGTGTTTCTCATAAGTATCATAAATGGTACTACTGCTCTTAAAGGAAAGGAAGAACCAACAAGGCAAAAAGATGATGGAAGTATTGAGTGGAATAAAGAGCTCAAGACTGGAAATAAACAAAATGAAATTCTCAGATCATTAACACAACTTATGTTAATGATTTAAAGAATTATCTATTGAGCACATGCCAATCTATGACAGAAGAAGACATTCTGTTCTCAAGAATGACATCAAAGATGTGCTCACTGGAAAGAAGAGATTCTCAAGACAGTAAGCTCCAAGCTGTTACACCCATCTCTGTTACAACTAAAAGAGATCTATGACAATAGGTCTGAATCCTTCACACAAAAGTGTTCTGTCCACCCATCTCTGTTACAACTAAAAGAGTCATAACCTTTGTTCCTATAAAGTGTTACACTCTTGAGGTCAAGACTTCCGTTGTATGTTTCAATATCTCCCAAAAGATATTGGAACACATTCTGTTAGAAGGAAAAGGGTTGAAAAGAAAAGATTCTTTAGAAGTCTATTCACCCCCCTCTAGACTTCTACCTCACTTGGGAACATCAGAACCCCAGAAAAAGAGGTCATCTTATTATTAAGAATCTTAATAACCTTCTTAGGAAGAGTATCCACTACTAATAATGAAGAGGGATGGAGTTAAGAACATATTTGATGAGAATAAGCCTTCCTCCTTGAGATAGATTTTTCTGTTTCCAAGGGGTCAACTTATTCTCAAACTGTTTAATAATACTCCCACAAAACTCAGCTCTGTTGATACCTTTGTGCAGGTTCACTCCAAGATATTTGATAGGTAGAGATGCAAGTTTCATACCCAGGATATCTTTGATCTTTGCATGCCTTGCAGGAGGGGCCCTTCCACAAATGATAGAACATTTTGACAAGTTTACAACCTGTCCAGAAGCTTCTTGATAGGTATTAAGAAATTTCTTAAAATTCAATAATGACCTTGCATTACCATTCATAAAGATTAACAAATCATCAGCAAACCCAAGATGAGAAATCTTTAGACCCTCATATCCAGTCCAATAGGGTTTAATTTTGCCTCTCTCCATCATCCAGTTTAGTCCCCTAGAGAAGGCCTCTGCAGCAATAATAAATAAGAAGGGTGACGATGGGTCCCTTTGTTTAACCCCTCTAGTGGGTTTTAAAAAACCCTGTGGTACACCATTGATCAAAACTGATAAATAGGAAGCATTCAAATGATTCCTAACAAGTTGGATGAAATGAGATGAAAACCCAAATTTTAATAAGATGGCATAAAGAAACCGCCAAGATCCTATCAAAGGCCTTGGCCATATCAAGTTTAAAAACCAAGTTACTCTCCCCCATATATATATGCTCAGAGATCTTTGAAAGAATCCTTGGCTCTTATTTGGGTATTCGTGAATCTTTGGATAAACGGCATGCTGAAGAAGAGAAAGTTAATAATCATATATCTCCGAAGGTAGATCTTTTTGCAGGTACTCAATACTCTGAGGACAATGAGGGTTTCCTTGTAGAGAACTTGTTTCCATACTCAGGTGATGATTTCCTTGGCCATGCTTCAGGTAGTGAGAAAGGAACTCCTATTTCATCTGTGGAGGATTTATGGGACTCTGATACAAATCAGAATATCTGCAACAATGCCAGGTTGGTCACAAGTGAAAACTGCTTGCCTACACAGAATCTTAACACGCAAATTAAGATATACAAGAAAAAGCATCAACGGTCACATCTCATGAGGACAAGATCTCAATCTCGTTTGGAATGAGGGTGGAGGATGGTTTAGGGAAGACAATGTTTTTGTAGTATTTAGGGTTGGCTTGATTTGTTTTACTTTTTTTCATTCTCCTTTTTTTTGTTCTTTCATCTTTTTTGTACTTCCATTGTTTGTTCATCAATATAATTTCCATTTCAAAAAAAATGCTCAGAGATCATATCCATCAAGTTTCGATCTTTAATTAGATCCATCAACTTGTATGAAGCTGTTTAAAACACACACACACACACACACACACACACACACACATATATATATATATATATATATATATATATAGCCACCTTGAATCTACTTGAAAATTGAAAATTGACTTGATTCCATAACTAGCTTAGCACACTGCTTAGGGTATAGTTATCGATCATTTAGGAAGGTAGAAAAGAGAGAAATATAATGGAACAAAAATAGTATTAGCACTTCTAATTGGGGATATACTTTTTAATAAGATCAAATACAACTTATTTTTAGCTATATAAGTACTCTTATTTGTGCACGTTGTCAATGTTTTGGTCATATTTAGAGCACGCAGTTTCTTCTTTAGTACAACACATTTAGTTGATTAATTAGAATCGTGGTGAATGTTTTTGTTAACATCAAGAGACCAAATTCGTTGCACAAATCTTGGGCTCTCAAGAACCCACTTCAAACCTTTGATAAATATAAATCTGAGACCTCTAAACAATTCGCTAAATTCTCAACGCTCGTCTATATACAACCATGCACAAGAAATCACTCTTAAGTGATTGGTAATTTTTTATGTTCTCGTATTCTAGCATAGACTGGTGTCCCCACATATCCAAGTGGTGTTATTGAGATTGTGTTATGCTCAACCGAAGGGCCGCCTGTTGACTTTTTGAATCCGATCAATCCCATTGAAAAGCTTGAGGGAGCGCTCCAATATCGTCGGGAACTAAGGTTTTACAACTCTGAGGTTCACAAAGCTGCATTTGCATTGCCGTCTTTCATAAATCGGGGGTGAGTTGTCTGCGAGATGTCCGACCTACAAATGGTGTAAACTCAGTAGTTTGATTTTTGCCGACTATTTATTTCCATGAATATTTGGAACTTATTTGTGAAGACTTGAGAACTATCACATTTGAAAAATAAGCATTTCTAGCATACATGATATGCTGCAAAAAAAACCATTTTGACAACAAGAAAATTAGTTTTTTTTTGCTCTTCGTATTGATGATTTAATGTAATGTTTGGTGGTCAGATTATGTCTCCTATCATTCTTCTTATCATATCCTACAACAGGTGAGATTTCTATGTGAAATTCCCATACTTCAGAATTTTTATAATGACGAGGAATATTTATAATGCTTGATGACTTATTGTAGCTTACTTCACCATAATTTCTATTTCTGAAGGAAGCTTCTTTTTTTATTATTTTCTTAAGGCTCTTTTTCCAGGTCTGCTGTCAATCAGGTTGTGGTTTCTTGTCTGATCTGTTTCACAATTTAAATCCAATCATTCATAATTAGTGTTTGTTTAGATAAACATCAAAATGAATGAACTTAATTCAACTTGATGAGTAATAACTTAATAGGTACTTGCATGTGAAAATGGAGGCTGATGGAGGGGACATGCCAGTCAAGTTTGGTACTTCTGCTGCCATAGCAATACCAAAGAGGGCATCACACCAAGCTGTTACTAGGAGGTCACAATACATAGCTGATCTTATGGATATGTCCTTGCTTGGACAAATGACTTTAATCCCCTATAATACCGGGTAAGTAATCTCTTTTGCAAGTGACTTGTATTTGCAAACTATGGTGCTTTTCTAATTACATATAGTTTCATTGTTATGCAGGAATCATTGGAAGGAATTCCATCGTAGGATTTGGAGAAAATCGTGAATCAGTTAAGTTATATAGGCCCTTTAAATGTAAATCTTGATTGCATGTACACTTTATGAGAAAATATTGGATCGGTTGAATTTTAATAATGACTGTGTTTCCTTTTCAGAGGGGTGACGATTAATCATGCCCAAAAATCCAGGAAAAGGTTGAATTTAAAATGGGTGAGAGTGATGGTATGTACCCTTTGATGTTTATTATCACTTTTAGTATAAATTAGCGGCTGTGATTTGTACATGAGATCATTTTGACTAAAGATCAGACGTGAATCTTTTGAAACAGAATGTGAGAGCAATTAATTAATTAGTGTATCCTGTAATCATAGTAAGTGCTAATTAATTTAATTTTACATTGAAGTTCTCTACTGTCAAGGAGTATACTGAAGATGATATTTTACAAGTGCGTGAGGAGTGGGCTTTGTATGCTACTACTTTGATAAAAAAGTAAGTTCACATTTAAAATTTACCGAAAATAAGTTTCATAATATATGGATGTAATATTATATTTTGTTTGATATGTAGTGTGCATGTGGATCCTACAAAGGCTTGATGATATGCACGGGGAGATGCATTTTTTATTATTGTTGATGGATGTTAGAATGGTCGGTGTTATGTTATGTATGTAGAATGTAGAGGCAGGTCACACTTATTATAACTAAACATTGGTACCTGTTGGGAATGTGAGTTGTTTGTATTTCAGCATCTTCAATGATGCTTGGTAGTACTCCCTCCGTCCCATATTTAACTCCGGTTTTGACCGGGCACGAGTTTTAAGATAGTGGGATTTGTGTGGTGGAGAGTTATGCAGAGGAGAGAGAAATGTGTAAGAATGGTTGTGAACCACATATTCTTTACCAAAAAGGGAAAAAGGAGATAAATTTGGGACGGACCGAAAAGGAAAGAATGAAGATAATTCCAGGACGGAGGGAGTAGTTTTTTTGCTGAATTCAATAGCCGGTTTATTTGCGGGAATATTACTGAAATTTTGCTATATCTTTTATCCGGCGGTAGAAAATGTAACTGAACAAGAATGTGAAAGTGTTACTGAATATTATATATTAAATGATGTGTTTTGGGTATCCATTAATTTTTGGATATTATAATATTTATTAATGAAGTAAACAGTAAATTAGAATTCTATTAAAGCTACCATGGGCATATTATCTAGGCCTATATAGGCCCAATAAACAAAACCAACCAAGTGACATTCAAGTTTCATAAAAATCTACGATGGTAAAAGTGTCATAAAAATCTATGATGTATTAATGTCACAATGTGTTCTTGATGATTAAATGTCGCTATTTTAGACGATAAATTAGTGTCATAATTTGCTGACACACAACCGTCCCCGCATCAGTGACACTATATTTAGTGTCGCTAGCTGCCACTTTCCCCGACGTTTTTTAAGTGTCACTGAAAGTTTCAGCGACACTAAATTAGTGTCACTATAGACCCTTTTTCTACTAGTGATGGTATTCTGCAATACATTGCTTTCATGCTTTGCTATGCCATTTAGCTTACCATATTCTGTTTTTTTTATTGCAAACCTAATAAAACTGCTAGCTCCATGATAGATAAAAAACAGAAGAAATTGAAATAACCTTTTTATCATGTTCCAAGCAAGTATAAGTTAGAGTATGGAGTCCAAAAATATTCTTTTAATTCCCAAAACATGCAGGAATTTCCTACTATTGCCGTAGCTATCTTTCTATTTTTTGTTCTTTCACGTTGCTCATGATTATGTATAGCAAGTAGTGAATCAAAAGATAAAAATTAAAAAGTCAAAGTGGAGGCACTAGCTGAAGCACGAAGAATTTATACTAGTGTGGCTAACTGACTCACATCCTTACTGGAATGACCCCCAAAGCTTAAAATGTTGTTGCTACTATTCCTACGAATGAGACTCGCCAGCAAACTTACTGAAACAGGAGTAGACATTTTAAAATTAGGTAAACATAGAGAGCTCAATGATTAATAGAAGAATAATGAAGAGAATTGAAAGAATAACTCACTCGATTGAGTATTAGTATCTTCGATTCTCATAACGTTCAGAAGCAGCACTACCACAATATTAATCGGAATTTATCTAGGAAGTACCAGATCGTGAATTTGACAAATGTTAACTACTTAGCTCAATCCGATGAAGCTAAATTTTGAATACAAGAAAGTGATGGCTAATGCGACAAAAATTAACACTGTTTTGCATCGGAAAAGCTCTGACCTGGATGCCTGGAGAGATCCACTTTCTAATCTGCTAGGAACAACATGGAACGAAGACTCCTTGTTTCTGGGCGGAAGAGCCTGAAGATGCTTCACGATTCGAAGGATTGGCCAGTATGAGGACAAAAGAGAAAAAACGGGAGTGAAGATACAAATTCCGATGACGGTCGAATATGGGTTAAATCAATTGTGAAATAAAAAAGACAAAAATGAAAAAGTGAAAGTTGAAGATGAAAAAAAATGTATGTTGACATAAATGAAATTCTAGAAAGAAAAGTGGTGTGAACGGGTAATTTCCACATTTATCAATATATTTAACATTAACATATTTTTTTTAATATTAAAAAAGATCTGCAAGGGCCCAGGCACCCCAGGCCCTAGGGTAGTTCCGCCATTGGGTGACATACCTAAATACTTCCTCCGTCCCATAAAATTTTTTCCATTTTGACTTGGCATGGAGATTAAGAAAATCGAATAAAGTGGAAATGTGTGATTGGAGTTGTGTAAGAAAAATGTGAAATGAATGTGAACCACACAAATTGTTCAAAAAATGGTAAGTGGAAAGAATTTTTTAGAACGACCCAAAAAGAAAAGTAGGAAGAATTTTATGGGACAGAGGGAGTACAATTCAAGAGGACGACTCGTCAAATTAGTTATATAAATATGTGCGGAAATTACTCCAGATAGGAGTAAAAATATGGCAAAAAATCAAAATAGGACTTGTTATGGTTTTATTCCAAAATAGGATCATATTACTCCTACTGGAAAAATACTTATTTTTTCATTCCATTCTCACCCCTCTTTTAAACACGAGTAAAAGGTAGTCAAAAGTCATAATTAAATGTTTAATTCATAATAAATTCGAATAATTTTAAAAAAATCGTAGAAAAATAATAAAAAAATTAATAAAAAATATATAAAATAATAAATTAAAAAAATGAAATTAATAAAAATAAGTAAAACTCCATAAAAAAATTAAAAAACATGGATGCATTTCCCATCGCCTGTACTGCCTCCGTACGTGCACCACCATCTCCGACCGGTGTAAAAAAATGCAATTTCTTCCGAAAATGCCAAAAATGGCATATTACTCTTTGAAAATGCCAAAACTTTCATTGAATTTGCCATAAATATGGCATTCCTGAAGCATGTTGATTTTCCCCCCGCTGACCGGAGATGGTGGTGCTGGGGCGACAGATCTGAGGTAGAGGTGATTTTTTTTGTAGCGTTTTGTAGTTTTAAAAAAAATTATTTTTTTAAAATTTTTAAATTAGATGCCATTCTCACCGCTTGTACTGCCTCCCTGCGCCACCACCTCCGACCGGTGTAAAAATTCCATTTTCTACAAACTGTCATTTTTTCGAAAATGCCAAAAAATGGCATATTACTCTTTCAAAAAGCCAAAAATTTCATTGAATCTGCCATAAATATGGCTTTCTCAATCGATGTGCCATTTCCCCCTGGTAATTGGAGGTGGTGGTGCTAGGGCGGTAGAGGCGGCGGTGATTTATTTTTGTGATTTTATTTTCTTTTAATTTTTTAAATTTTTATTAAAAAAATTATTTGTTATTACTCCCTCCGGCCCCAAATGAAATTCACACTTTGACTTCACATAAATTAAGGAAATAAATTTGACTTTACTGTAGAGTACATTGTTGTGACACTGTTTGACACTGTTTTGCACTGTTTTGCACTATTTTGCACTGTTTGGATGTAGATAATTTGCCAAATAACTACTGAATAAGGAAGGGAGAAGAAGTGTGAAGTTTATTTTGGACCTATCCAAAAAGGAAAATGTGAATTTCATTTGGGACCGGAGGGAGTATTATTTTAATACTTTTATTATTTTTTTAGTATTATTTACGATTTTTTATTATTTTATTATGAATTAAAACATATCAATAGCAACAAAGGTATATTTTTTCCAACACATACATAATTAGTCATATCAAAACATAGTTTACTTTTTTATCCTATTTGTGCAAAGTGAGTATCATTTAGTCCTACTTTGACAATTAACCCAAATATATGAGTTCAAGATTACATAAGTTGAGGTTACACATAATAGGTCCCAAATTATAGAAGTTTTAGACACGTACATTCTTGATCCCTTATAACCTTGTCATCTTTACCTTTTGGGTTGTTAAAAAACATTGTCACTCTCTCTTAATAAATGAAGCTGTCATTTCTATTATTTCTCTCTAATCTACTCAAACATCAACCCCAAACTTTTTATTTTATTATTTCGCGTACCAGTTAAATTTGACAAAGTTTAGAGGGACGGACAGAGACGTAGTATTATATTTGACCGTTTTTGTATTGATGAAGATATAAATGCAATTTGGTGAGGATTTTCGTTTCGGTAATTTTACCCATCGATCGTCTGAATTAAAGGCTGATCGGTTTTGGTCCCTCCGCTCCCATCCACTTACGTGACCAATTTTAATGCACCAAAGGAATTAAATTGAAGGAGCTGAGCTGAGGTGAGCTAGAGATGGTTAAAAGCGCCCATACATTTTAACACGAGGACGCATCTATTTTGGGAACAAGAGTTATAAGAATTGATGTAATATAATTGAGCTATAATAATAATTAAATGCGCAGTATAATTAATGGCCTGGGAGGAGGAGTCGGATTTGGGGCATTAATTAATTGAATCAGAGAGCAATGTAAAGGCAGTGGATGGCGCCCTTTAATGCTTTTACTACCATGGAACTGTCCTCCTTTTAATGTTCACTTCCTAGCTTCATCCATCCTCTTTAATTCCTACCCCGATATTATATCTGTCTGATTCAATTCCTTCACTACTGGCCATGGAAGAATTCCCGGAACTCTCTCTTGGTCTCGGTGCCGCCGCGAATAGCAACGGCGGCGAGAAATGATTCGACTCCCGATGAAGAGGAAGATTCGACAATTCTTTGGCGGTGGCGGCACGGACAGCAGCAGCAGCAGTAGCAGTAGTGTCGATCTCCACCAGCCTGCCTGGAAGGAGCCCCTCCCGCTGGATTGGGAGCAATGCCTTGACCTTCAAGTAACGTTCTCCTAACTACGTAGTATTATTATTTCTGATCATAATAGTAACATTCCGTATTATTTATATACGTAACAGATATGCTAGGTGTACAAATAATGATGTACAAACTTTCGTACATTCGTCTGTCTCATGCATACAGAAATTTTTGTCCACGAATAGTTCTGTACTTCTGTAGAGTTGTCTGTGGACAGACAATTCTATGTGCGTGAGACAGACGAGTGTACGAAAGGTGTACATCAAAATGTGTACACCAAACATTTTTCTTTATATAAAGGGGCTTCATGAGCATGCCTTGTTTTGTCTATGTTATTGTTTTTAAGCAGAATTGGTATTGTTGCTGATTAATTAATTTTATCTGGAAAAAAATTCCCATATTTTGTCTGCAGTTCAACCGTAAACATGAAAAATTGTTTGTGACACATGATCTGACAAGATGTTTGAAAATGTTGTTTGGTAAATAGTTGTTCGGCCTTAATGTTCTTTTTCTAAATCGCTCAAATGGGAACGTCGCAATTAGCAACGTTTTGGATTAACGTTTTGAAATAGACAATTCATATTAGTTGTTACGGTCAAACAGCTAAATTATCAAACATCCTTTTACAATCAGTCAGCTTATTCTGTTGATAAAAAACGTCTCAATTTTTTTTAAACAACTATTTTATGTATATTGGTCGAATTGATCGTTAACTATTTTTATTATTATCAGTTGCATGTACAAGTACTGGACGTACTAGCTAGTGAGTTAAGCTAGAAACAAAATACGGAGTGGTCCGTAATAAATAGTGATGAGTTATTAATTATCAGTAGTATAGTACGTACTAGCAGAGTATATTTAATTAATTATCTCGTTTTCCGGCATAATAAATTAAGCACGGGTGTGTATTAAATGGTTCATCCATTTCTCTGCACCACCGACAACCTTACTAAGTACAGCGACTTTCAATTTAGATATTTCAAGCATTAAAAGTTTTGATTGAACACAGCAACATAATAATAGATGAAATAAACATACAAATTAAAAAATTCTTATATGGATATATTTCATCTTTGATATCTCAAATTGATAATTCGTCTATATTTCAGCTTCCGTACAACTTAACTTATGTCTTTGGATCGTACAGCAATCCGTATGTTTTACCAATTATTTTATGTACTGTATGTGAATTGTGAAACAAGGTAGTGTGGTTGAAGATGGGAATTGTGTGGTTTAGAATTGTGTAGTTGAATTTTGCGTAAAGAAAAGAAAAATAATACAAACCACAAATTACTTAATTAATTGAATGAGAAATGAACAAAATTTTGGAACAAAATTATAAGGGGCAGATAGGCATGGACTCGGGCCGGGTTGGGCTACGGCCCGGCAGGTTTCGGGACTATGAAATTCAGGCTCGGTACCGGCTCTATTTGTATTGGTACCGGTTTGGACTACCCAGCCGGGCCTCGGTCCGATCTCAGGTCAGGTCGGGCCTGTTATTTTGTTAAATTTTTAAAAATTTGACCAATAGGCCCGGACAAGGCTCGGCCAGGCCGGTCCACAAAAATTGATCCCATAGTAGGCATGTCTTTTACCTCAGGCTGGGTACCGGACCCAGTCCATGCCTGGCCGGGGACAGAACAAATACATGGTACTTCGTATATACTACTCCCCCCGTCCCTTAAAACTTTGTCATTTTTTCTTTTAATCAATTATTTTGTGTTTTCTATTATTTCTCTCTCCTATGCACAAAACTCAATCATACAGTTTTTACTTTATTATTCTCCTTGCCGATTAACTTTTACGAAGTTTTAAGAGACGAAGGTAGTAGTATACGGTACTTGGGGACTTGGGATACGTACTTTCGTGCCAAAATATGGTTTCGACTACTTTTATATTTTCAGGTTCACGTTCCTTAATTACTCTTTTTATTTTAAATTCATTTCCATTCAGATTGCCTTTTCAATTACCTTCTGGATCCTAGGGGTGGGCAAAAGACCCGGTCCCGTTGGTCCATTCCGAAACGTTCTGGTTCCGTTCCGAAATTGTCCCGTTAAATTCAGGACAAACTGTTTTTGTCCCGTTCCGGTCCCGAATCGTTTCAAAACAAAACGGGACCGGGACAAATAAAATATGTCCCGTTCCGTCCCGTTGTCCCGAATTCAAAATTGTATATGGTTGTGGGTTAGTGAGTCTACCATCAATTCAAATACTAATGAATATTAATTAGGTATTAGCTATCTAATATGTAAAAAACCTGAAGGAGTCTAAATTATATCAAGTATGAATTATCTTCTACATACTAAAAAGAAACTCACATATACTTCACATGTTTCACTTCTAATAATATTGTTTGTCTTTTTATTTATTTTGTAGTTTCTTAGTAGTATTGTGTGTGTTGGAGTTATTGTTGTTGTTACGGTTTGTTTCGTGCAACTATCCTATTAATCTACTATATTTTGTGTTGCATTTATCGTAAATTTTTGTATGTGTTGCATTTTTAGTGTTGTAGTTTTTGTCATGAACTTTCTTTTTTGGAGCTGTATTTTTTTCATTGCAATTTTTTTGGGATATCCCGAACCGTCCCGTTTTGTTCCGGTACCGATTTAAAAGGGACAATAGCGGGACAACATCTTGTCCCGTCCCGTTCTGTCCCGTTTTGTCCCGTTCTGTCTCGTTATCCTAAATCAGGTTCAGGACCGGGATAGTCTAATTCCCGTCCCGTTCCGTCCCGTGCCCACCCCTACTAGATCTTTTAAATTCTTTCCCATTTGAATGTACTATGAATAAAAAAAATGTTTTAAAAAAATTGTATGGTTAAGATTGTTCATCAAGTTGACAGCTTTTGACACAATCCAATTAAGAAGACTAGTAAATAAATTGAAACGATGAAGAGAATGTTCTAGGATGACAGGGCATTGTGTAAAAAAACATAACATCTCTACGAGTATGTGGATCAGAGTCTTACTCACTATATGTTATCTAGTAATTAAAATTCAATTTACACGCTCTAGCTCAATTAACTGTCCGGATGATGTTGAGGGCCGAAGTAAGTTTTGAAAGTGATCTTGAGTTGCCCATTATTTATAAATTAATGTTCTTTTTTAATATAAATTTGATTTAATTTATTTGTTTGTATTCAGTCAGGGAAAATGTACTATGTGAACAGGAAAACCATGAGGAAGACATGGGAGTGGCCTCAAAAGCAGCAGCAGCAGAAGCTCCTCCGCCCTCCTCTGGATCTCGATCTCAACATCTCCACCGGTACCCGCCATTTCCGTACAAAACAGAATCATTCGTCCCCGACGCCACCGGGGAACGGCGCTGCCGCCAGAGAAGGCGGAGATAATATGATTGCACTGCCGTGCTCAAATTGCCACCTGCTGGTCATAGTTTCTCGGGCATCCCCTTCTTGCCCTAACTGCAAGTTCCTCCAGTACTCTATTGCCGCCGGTAACCAGTCTCCGGCGGCTAAGCCGTTACACTCCGGCGGATTAAGCCTCTTCCTCTGATAATTAATTATGGCCACATAGGCACATATATATAAATATATACATATAGATACTTAATTATTATAAATACGTACGCCATGCATATCATGTACGTAGTATATATCTTTAATTAGTGTTTAATTATGTTTCCATTAAATTAGTTTAAACTAGCTAGCTAGCCACTGGATATCATGCATATTACGGAGTACGCCATGCATATCATGCATATTACGGAGTATTGTTATTACTGCTCATGTTATTCATAAAGTGTGCACTATATCCATCGAATATTAGATTAAAGTTCAATTTGAAAGTCAATTAAATAAATTATTGAAAATATGGCACCATAGCATATATAAATCAACATAGTATTTTTAATAATTTATTTAACTGACTTCACAATTTAATTTTGAATTGTTATATGGTGAACATAATTTACATTTCATGAAAAATGTGTTCAAAAAAACTATAAAAAAATTCGACCAAGAAGACTCTCAAACGGGGCAGGGGCGGACCTCTTTTGTTCAAGGGTTTTCATCTGAACATCCAAAGCTTTGAAAATAAAATGTAAAAATACACACACACATATATAGAACATATGTAATAATTTATATGTTGATTTTTATGTAATATATCTTGCTCTTAACCTTATTTTTGGGATTTTAAAGTTGGAAAAGTTACATTTCTCAAATGGTGGACCAAACAACATTATTGTGCAATAGATAAAATACTTTTGAACACCCTATATTTGGTTGCAAGATCCGCCACTGCAAACATGATTGACTGAACGGCGGTTCCGATCAGACCGGCCTGACAAGAACGCCACTATATATAATACATACTCCTTATTATTACATAATACATGTAAATAATTCCCAAATGTGTGTGCTTCGTAATTAATTACATGTATTATGTAATACAGAGTGTGTATTATGTATAGCTAATTATTTAGATCAAACTAGTGAAATACGAGTTGAATCCGTTGTATTTGTAGAATCTACTGGACAAAAAATAATTATTAGCAAAAAAGAAAATTTTATATGAAAAAATAGCTGAAGTAGACATTTGTATCAAATTCGGCAATTTCATCACAAAAGTTACGTGTTTGCTACAAAAAACTGACCAATATGAAATCAAACCAAAAGCATATGTTACCAATCGGGCTTTTACTTTAATAAAATGACTCGGAAACAGTGCAGTGTTAGTACTAAGTCAACCCGATCCGATTCGTTATGGTCTCAAACAAGCCATTTTGGGGTCCAAAGTAGGCCTTATTTGTTCTGGACCAGTATTGTGGCCTTTCTCAATGTATATTTCATGCTCACTTAATGCAAGCATTTTTTCTCCAATCATTCTTGGTGTACACCCTAGCTTACACCCTGCCACCCTGAGTTACACCTCTTTATTTGTCATTCACGCAAATAAAAAGAGTACAAATACAGACACTTTCGATAAAACTGTTTGTGTGAGACAAAATTGGTTTGTTGATTGATGTAACTTTTGACAGGTCTGTCAAGGTAACTACACGGAAACCAGTGTTGATGTACACCGACATTTGTTTCGGTGCAATCTAACTCTGACTTATTTTAACATTTTTTATAACCAGTGTCTGTGTACATACCTTTTTTGTCTATGGCGAATGTTTATAGAATGTTAATAGTTTTTTAGTTTCTTGTTTCATTACAGACAATATTTAGCATCACCATACAAACAAAAATTCAAGCAAGTTTAACTTTCCCGTGAATTTCCAGCAAATCTTCCGGTGAGTTTCCGGTGAAAATGGTGATAGAAGATGATGATGATGATGATGATGGAAGGTGATGGTGAATAAACGTAAAAAGAAAGAAAAAGAGAGAAGGAAAGAAGGAGAAGGAGAGAGGGGGGGGGGGGGGGTTGTATGATGCAAGAGGGGAGGAAGGGAAGAAAAAAAGTGGAATGGAAAAAAAAGTAAAAATGGAGGTTATATAGGGTGAACCCCTGGATGTAACATAGGGCCTTAAGCAAATTTCTTTTTTCTCGCTTAATGAGAGGGTATCACTCCGCCTTTACGCGGAATGGCGGCGGCATAGTAAGGACTAAGGAAATTAGCAGTGGCAAAGAGGTTTTCAAGCAGCTTTCGATTCAAGATGGTCGTGTTGGGGTTTGCGGAGGAACACAAATGCCTGATATTGAGGGTAGGCAGACGACTCGATGGCTTTCTGCACAAAGATTTATTTTCTCACAAACAAGGGAAGAAGATGGCAGTCGTAGGATTCCTTGGATGAGGATGAAGAAGGCTCAATTCATGGTGGTAGAGGAAGGGACGAGGGCGCCAACGGTAGGGTGGAGGGATTTGGATAAAAAATTGGAAGGGGCTATGTAGGGATGGACTAAACCGGGCTGGGCCGGAACCGGGCCAGGCCGGGATCAGATCGGGCCGGAATCGAGCCGGGCCGGAATCGGGTCGGGTCGTAACCGGCCCGCTACTGTGTGGGCCCGGACCGGGACCGGTTGGCCGGTTCCGGGCTTTTAGCCCGTTTGGGCGGGTCGGGCCCAGTTTTGGGCGAACCGGCCCGGGCGGTTCGGGCTTGGCCCGGGTCATTTTTTTTTCAATTTCTTTTCTTTTCCTAGGGTAGGGTTGAGTGTTTTGGGGAGGTTTGGGGGTGGGGGTGAGGGGGGGTCGGGGGATAACAAGAAAGCAAAAAAAAATAGACATTGAACCAGGCCCGGCCCGGCCCGGTTAGGCCCGGACCCAGTATCAACCCTGACCGATTCTGGGCCCAAGGATTTGCAAAAAAAGCCCGCTCGAGCCCGGCCCGAAACCGGAACCGGACCGGCCCGGATCCATGCCTAGGGCTATGTGCTCATTAAACGAGTTGCCAATTCCCAAATTACCAAATGGGGACCAGATGGTCCAGATCCACCATCGTACGTTGCTAATGTGTGATGTTTTGCAAATTTTGTATCTCACGTCGAGGCCTGTCAATGGGTCGGGTCTAGACCCAGACTCGAACCCGATTTTTTAACGAGTATGGGTCTATGTTTTATTTCGTTTACCCGGACCCAAACCCGGACCTGCTAGTATTTTTAATAAATGAGTCGGGTATGGTACATATAATTCTGGCCCGTTAAGGACCCGGACCCGTTTAAAATTATTAGTATATAGTCCTACTCCTAATACAGTATTGAGTGCTCTGCTATACACTAATACGGAGTACATAACTAAAAGGCTAAAATTAGTGCCCGATTTATAAGAACTTGTGGGCCCTGTAGGACAAGCCCAGGAAGTCTTGTGACCTAATATAGTATTATTACTCCACATCTAGTAGACTAGTACTACGTATATTCATTATTCAATTGTTCTACCAGCAGACTGCAGAGTACTGGACTCCAAGCTATTTTTGACAGAAAGCAAGCTAGGATATTCTTTGAAGTTTTGTTTATTTTATTAAAGGCATTCAGTATGTTTGGATAGAGTACTGGTTTTGTATGTGAACTTTGAACTTTGAATTTAGAAAGTAAAGATGTGTTTGGCTTTTGAATTTTATTTATTGTTAAGGATGATCGGAGAGTGTAACTAGTTTGTGCAACTGTTTTACGGATTTTGTTTCAAATTTGACGGGTCTGGGTCTACCCGACCTAGACCCGAGAACCGTTGGGTCCGGGTCTGGGTCCAAAATTTTAGACCCGACGGGAAAACGAGTTCGGGTCTGGAACACTACATTCCGACCCGGACCCGACCCATTGACAGGCCTAGGTCTAACCACTATACCATAATTATAAAAAAGCATAACTATTACTCCCAGTGATAACGTATGAATGTGTGACATAATCAGTCGTGTTTATTAATCGTGTTTAGTCCAATAATCCAAGATTTTCTTACATTATGGGACATAATTAGTGTAATTTTTAGTCCAATAATCCAAGATTTTAGTCCAATAAATCGTGTTTAGTCCAATGAAAATTGTGCTCGAATCTAAATTATGCTCGAATCTTTTATTAATCGTGTTTAGTCCAATAATCCAAGATTTTCTTACATTATGGGACATAATTAGTGTAATTTTTATTTTAATTTAGAAAGTACAAATTACGATATAACAACAGTATGATCAAAATTAAAGCTCACTTTTCTTTGATAATATTTTATTCATTATTAACAATAAAAATTTGCTATCTGAAGTCATATTAAGTTGAAAGGCGTAAATTGAATTGAAATAAAAAATTATGATGAATAATACTCCTTGTGTCCCTAAACAATCCACATTTTTTGCCCAGTTCATCTCAAAATTATCCACTAATTCATTTTTTTAATTAAAGTAATACATTGTTCATATTTTTCTTTACTCTGGATAAACATAAATCGCCGATTATTGTTTTTTTAAAGGAGTTTTCAACACACCCCAAATGAGAAAAGGAGCAAGTTTATAATATTTTCACGGAGTATTTGGAAGAGGCAAAACCGTCTTGTGTGGAAGGAGGCGTGGCAGGAAGCAGCGGCAGTCCTAAATGTTGCAGCAAGCATGCTGTCTTCATGGTGGGAGGCTCAGCAATTGGGCTCCAAGCCGAAGCAATGGGGGCGTCGGGGCAAGATACGAGAACAAGCTGGCAACGACCTAGTCAGAGAATTATCAAAATTAATGTTGATGCTGGAGTCAATCAGGCAGAGGAGATTAGAGCTTGGTCTGGATTGCAAAGAATAAGCAAGGGGAGTTTATCAAGGCCGTTGGTAGGCATGGACCTAGGGATGGACTCGGGCCGGGTGGCCCGACCCGGAACCGGACCGGGTCTGGTACTGTTCCGGCCCGGCCCGACCCGGTGGCCCGGTCAGTGACCGGTCCGGGTAGGCCCAGCCCGTGGGTTTTCCGGTCCGGGCTCGGGTCACCCAAAACAAGGTCCGACCCGGCCGGGCCCGGTTCGGGCCAAAACCTTTTTTTTTCAATTTTTTTTAAAATTTTCGGGTTGGGCTGGGTATTTTGGGCCATTTGGGGAGGTTTGGGGGGTTGGGGGTGGGATCGGGGTTAATTAGGAAGAGGAAAACAAAAAAAATGATAATGGGCCCGGCCCGGCCCGACCCGGACCCGGTGGTTACCCGGGCCGGTCCCGGGTCCACCATTTCTGAACCGCCGGCCCGCCCGGGCCTAGGCCCGACCCGGACCCGGCCCGGACCCGAGTCCATCCCTACATGGACCGGTTCCGAGCCGGTCCAAATCAGGCTTTTTTTATGGGGGGTTAAGACCCGGAACCGGCCCGGGATTCTATCTAGGCATGGACCGGTTCCAGTTCAGGCCCGGTTCGGGCCTCGGTTCAAGAATGGGAGGCCCGGAACCGGCCCGGGTAACCCCTGAGTCCGGGCCGGGCCTCGGT